AGACGAGAGTACGTAGGCATAGGATGCAATATCCTAGCGAGCTCCCCTTTTCCTTTTCCCCCATTTTTGCTGTAGTTGGCTGAACTACAACTGCTCTGATTTCTTGTACCAGACGAGAGTATGTAGGCATAGGATGCGATATCCTAGCGAGCACACTAACAACTAACTTCTTTGTTCTCTCGCTGCTGTGCGATCGAGACTTTCCCGCTGACGACTGATGTTCCCTTTCTCTTGCCCGAGTGCAATTGAGACCAGACCGTAGTCCTAAGTCCCGTAGGTTCTCCATACCTTTAAAACCCGACATACTACATCCGTTCTACCGCAAACAAGTAACGCCTAAGTCTCCGTCGAGCGAGCAACATGCACCTAACTGCTAGAATGCGTACGCTAGTATCGTCAATCCTTTCTCTCACCCCCGTGTGATCGAGAACACCCTGTCTAGCCGTAGTTTTCCGAACTACGTTGACTCTGACTTTCCCATTACACGAGGGAATACGTAGGCATAGAGCGCGAGGCTCTATCGAGTCAGTTCTTTCCGTTTAGCTTTAGCAACCGTAGATAGATTGTTTTTCACCCGTAGACAAACCAACAAGTGTGGATCCCATTGAGTACGATGGACGTGAGGGGTGCTAACACCTTCCCCTTGCGTAACCGACTCCCGAATCCAGACATTGGTTGCGATGACCTTGTCTTATACCTTTTCATCAGGTTTTTCCGATCGTTTCCTTTCCCGTTCTGAGGGATAAATAACGAAAGGTGGCGACTCTTCTGTTTTACCGACATCTTATTTTCGCGGTAGCGACAGCTCTTCGAGATAGAAGGTGATCAGGTTGGATCGTCCTTGGAACTTATCGAGCATGCTCATCTTGCCTGCGCTGCTGCTTATTAGTTCGTCAAACTTTCTTTTAATCGACCCGATCGTGAGCTTGCTCGGGGTCCCGCCTGAAATGACCATTGCCTTGAGGAAGTATTCCCAGCAGCTAACGAGGCGTATCGGCTCCTCGGGCAGCTGAAGCTCGACAGGGAGACCGAACTCTCTTAGCACAAACCATTTTTTAGGCCGCTCAACGCTGAGGGCCACTTGCAGGCCGGAATCGTTGTCGGGAGGGGGGAGGTCCTCGACTCTTTTGGCCTCGGGGGCCTCCTGTCGTGGGGGCTCTCCATCCCGGGTGTACCTCTTCAGATGCCCGTCTTTGATTAAGATTTCAATTGCATCCTTCAGGTGGATGCAATCCTTGGTCACGTGCCCGTGACTTCGGTGGAAGCGACAATATTTGGATTTGTCCACATTGGCTTTGGTGGGTGTCGGTTTTGGAAAACAGACACCTCCCCGGATAAATTCTGAATTGGCGTACTCAGCCAGTATGCGCTCGCGGGAAGCGACCAGCGTCGTGTATTCGGTAAAATGGCTAACAGGGCCCTGCTGCTCGCGGGGTTCTCTGTGACGGTCCTCTTGTCGCCGGTCTCCCCCGCGTCGGTGGGCTGATGCCCTTTCATCTCGAGACCCGCGAGGGGTTTCCCGGTTTCTAGTGTCACGGGCGGTGTTGGCGGACTCCATCTCCTCGAACCACATGTAATGGCGGGCTCTTTCGAGGAAGTCTTGGAGAGAGTCTGGCCGGTGGATGGCCATGGTCTCGTAGAATTTGGAGTCTTGGCTCAAGCCCTGCTCTATCAGGTAACATTTCATTTCGTCCAACGTCGTTACCTGGACCGCCTCCCTCGTGAACCTCTCAATGTAGTTTCGGAGAGGCTCGTCAGGGACCTGGATGATTGTGCCCAGCGTGGCCTCCGTCTTCGGATGTCGCCTTGACGCTGTGAAGTCCCGTGAAAATAGGTCCTTCAGGACCCTCCACGATGTGATGAACTCAGGCTCTAGGCTCTTGTACTATGCCATGGCTCCCTTTCTCAGCGTCGTCGGAAAGAGTCTACATTTGATGGCTCCTCGAACGATTCTGTAGTCGAGCATAGCCACGACGCCTTCCAGATGATCGTCTGGGTCCGAGGTGCCGTGGTATGTCGAGAGCGCGGGTGGTTTCTTCATCCCGTGGGGGATGGGGGCTGCCATGATTTCCCGCGATAGAGGAGTCCGGTAGTCGTCCTCGTCGCTGCGAACCGGGGACTGCGGAGGAGACGGTTCGTGTCGAGGAGGGGGGTTGCGCCCCCTCGGTCTTCTGGTCAGGGCTTCCGGTCCGTTCGCCCTGGGCTCCGGGGACCGCCTCTCCTTCCGGGGTGGTGATCTTGCTCGCTTCTTAGAGGCCACCAGTTGGGGCCTCTCCAACTGTGGCCGACGCCCCCGTGGTCGTGGAGAGGGGCTCCGGGAGCCCCCACGCTGATTTCTCCGCGGGGGAGAGCGGGATGAGGTGTCGTGTTCCAGCGTGCCAATGCACTCATTTTGCTGGAACAACATCTGGTTCGTCTGGTTGATGGATGTGAAGAGGGCAACCATCGTCGGGTCCACTTCAGCTGGTGTGGGAATGGGCTGGAATACCAGGGGGATTCTCGCCCGAGGAATGACATGGTGTGTCGCATCCTCGGATGGAGGGGAGGCAGTTTGGCCGTCCCTGATGTCGGTCTTGCGGGGTTGTGAGGTCCCCGTTTGGTTGTCGTTGTTGGTGACCGGCGTGAAGGTAGAACTGAGAATAACGTCATCGTGGCATGGGCTAGTCATGCTCTTGAGATTTGAGAGGAGTAAGCTTTGGTTCTCTGCTCGGAGGAACGAGGAAGTTTAGGTTCCCACAGACAGCGCCACTGATCTGACCTGATCAAAAGGAGAACAATAACCTGCCACACGTCGTTGATTTGTAAGCTGCTCACAAAGAATATGGATGAGGAGGGGGTGTACCTGCAAGACACTCCGATGCCAAAGTGAGTAATGGACCAGAGTGGGAGCAAATACAGAAGAGAGGTTAAGAAGAGAATACCCGACCCTCTAGTGAAAGAGGGTATTTATAGTGAGACCCCAGCGCAGGGCCAACGGTCACTTGTGTTTGGCTGGATTGTCAGGCCCAACCCAAGTGATTGCTAGGGCTTACATGGGGTAGTGAAGACCAACACATGGTCTTCTTCCTAGTTCAACCGTCCCGTGATCTCTGAAAGGTGGGCTGACCAGCTCTTTCGGAGGTGGGTAGTTGTCTGATGACGTGTCCCCGCGGGGGAAACACGTGGAGAACGTGTGGAAGACGTGGGGGTTCTGCCCGACGGAGGGAGTGTCCTGGTCGACGGAGGGAGTGTCCTAGTCGACGGGGGCACCTGTGCTCGACATAGGGCAATTTAGGCCTGTTTGGGCCTTCCCCGTACATCTCTGGACTGGGCCTGTTTGGTCAAGCCTGGGCCCATCCCAGAACAGTTATGGATATCAAAATGGACTTATTTGGATTTTGATATGGATTTTGGATATGGATATTTGGACATGGAGATATGGATTGTGAATTGGAATTTTAATTTTGCGCAAAATAGATCATGACCTTAAAAATAGAATTGGATATGAATTAGAAATGGATTTGGGCAAAATGGATCATGCCTAAAAAAATAGAATTGGATATGACATGGAAATGGATTTGGGGTTTTTTGTTTGGATATGAATTTTGAACTTAAATTGAAATTGGATAATAAAAATGGTTTGAAATATGGATAGTTGAAAATGTATATGGACCAAGAATGAATCTAAATATGGATTTTAAATTAAAAGTGGATAATGGATAAAAAATGGTTTGATTTGGATGATGATGAATTGTAACTTGAACTTGTATATTGAATTTCAAGTAATCCATTTGCATTATCTTCCAACCTTAATTTGAATCAAGTTCTTGAACAAAATAACTGCTTAAAAACTTGATGTCATTTGATTTAACTTTGACCATTCATGAATCAATACTCCATAAGAAAATGAATCCACTAGCCTTTCATGTCATGCTTGACTAATGAATCCTAATCTTCAATTAAACCACAAATTCAAGAAACAACCAAATTCCATTTGTAATTAATGAGATTTTAATCCCTAGTTTAAACAATAAAAAAGATCTTGACTTTATGACAACTACAAGCAATCCTTTAGACAATGATGAACTTGCAATGAAGAATAATGCTCAATGTAGCCTTGAGGAGAAATCCTAACACAATAAACCTTTGTTGAAGATCTATCACCATACTCAAGCACAATGAATAGGGAACCCTAATTCTTTTGCTCTTGAGTGCACAAAAAAAAGCTTGGAATGTTGAAAATCAACAAAACCCTAATTCATGGCAAATCTCAGTTATAAACTTGATGAAACCCTTACACTTAATGCCTCTTAAAAAATCTTTAAAGAAAATGATGAACTTGTAACTTGGGAAGACGCCCATGATTAAAATAATTTCATAATTAAGTGTGATATTGTATAAAACTTTTTCGAATTAAACTCTAATTTTATATTGCCTTTTTTTTTCTTTCTTTATATAAATAAAAAGAGATGAGTATTGCGCAAAACGCTGCGTTTAGAGGATAAAATCGAGAAAAGAATCAAGAACGCGAGAAGCGGCTGAAATTTGGTGATGTTATACTACTACTTCTCATTTCCCTCTTTCGATATCGTTATCGTCTTCTTCTTCTTCTACATCCTCTCTAGGGTTTTCACTCCCCACTCTCTTTTCACTTTTCACCATTCGCCAGATCACAATTTTCCTCTTCCAAGGTAATGTAATCGATCCATTTCATTCTAATTCTAATTTTTCATTCCATTCGTTCTTACACCAATTCCAAGTAGATTTTTGGGAAATTAGCGCATGTTTTTTGTCTGTGATTTTTGTTGAATTTATGCATGTTGGTTTAATTTGATTTAATTGATTTTTGTACTCTTCACTGTGTAATTGTTAGCGTAAACACTTTGTTTAGGATGATTTTTTGTTTTTGTTTTGAATTGAAGAGTGTTGAAGTTGTTTCTATGGTTGATTTTGTTTGTGACTGTTGTGAACTATTTCAGGTGTGTTTTGTTTGTAATTGTGTACTCTATGGTTGATGATTAATGCTAATGGTTGGAATGTCGAATAATTTGGTTTCGGAGCCAGTAACTAGTCAGCAGATTGCTCAATTGGAGCCTATTTCGAACAAAGTTGATTCGTCGGGGAGACAGATGGAAATGGGGCTCTTGCATCCTGTAACAAGTGATTCAATGTCACGGCAGCAGGGAACCTCAAATGGTGAACCCAAGTCTCAAGGCTTACCACAATCTAACCAGCAGAGTAGTCGGGTGGAAACGCAGGATGGTAATATGGGAGTGCATCGGCTGTTTCCCCAGAAACAATCCGTGGAAACGGGGACAGTGCCGAGTAATTTGGGGGCACGTCAACTGTCGGCAGCTCCTAAGCGGAAGGCAACAATGGAGCTGCCTCCGGGTAGCTTCATAACACCTAACAAGCGGGAGAAACCAACGGCACACAGAACTTGGACTCATCAATCATCAAGCAAAGGTTCTCAACAGATGCAATCACCGACAAATGCTTCTAGAACACAGCATTCGGCAGCATCTAGTAAGAGAAAAACACAAATGGATTCCACCTCCAGCAAACCCGGGACGCCTCGGTCCTCAAATTCTAAAGGTCAGAGTGCACAGATGAAAGAATCCTCCAAGGTTCAAACTGAATCATCTGAGAGTGTTAGGTCCAAGATGAGAGAGTCATTAGCTGCTGCTCTGGCGTTGGTATCCCAGCAAGATAAACATCTGGTCTCGAACGATGACAAACCAAATGATGCGGCCAATAGCTCTCAGTGTGCTGAATCCGCATCTGCATCTGCTGACACTGCTCCAGAACAAAGGCAGGAAATTTGTCAATCGGTTAAGGACTATGAAGCGGGATTCACAAATGTGTTAAACAATGAAGATATGTTGAGTTCTGACAAGCAAGATTTCCTGTCTAACTACACTTTGACTACTGATGACGTTCCTTTCAGTGACAGTTTCTTTGTGAAAGATGACCTTTTGCAGGGAAATGGTCTTTCCTGGGTATTACCTGATATGGACCATATGATGGACATGGATGATCAAAGGGAAAGTCAAACCATGATGGAGAAGAAACTGGAACCTGAGGAAACAGGTGGAGTTTGTAGGAAAGTGGTCCCTTTACCCGAACTTTTAGCATCAAGGATAGAAGCAGAGCTCTTCAAACTGTTTGGAGGTGTGAATAAGAAATACAAAGAGAAGGGAAGGTCTCTTTTGTTCAACTTGAAAGATCGCAATAATCCCGAACTCAGAGAAAGGGTTATGTTTGGTAAAATTCCTCCCGAGCAGTTATGTTCCATGACTGCAGAGGAACTTGCTTCAAAGGAGCTTTCTGAGTGGCGGTTAGCCAAGGCCGAGGAGTTTGCTCAAATGGTGGTTTTACCCGATTCAGATGTTGATATTAGACGCTTAGTCAGGAAGACGCATAAAGGTGAATTTCAAGTGGAAGTTGAACACGAAGACAATGTTCCAGTGGAAGAGGTGTCTGGTGGCAAAACTTCTGTTGTTCGAAGGCAACCAGTTAAAAAGGACGCGAAAGCCACTTCTTCTAAACCCGGTGTAATCAAAAGCGATGTAAGCACTGACAATGAAAAGAGCAACATACAAACGGATAATCAATTTTCCATTACGATTTCTTCCAATGACGGGACTGATCCAATGCAAGGGCTTATGACAGATGATGATGCATTGAAGGACCCTGACTTTCTTCCCCCAATTGTATCTCTTGATGAATTCATGGAATCCCTTGATTCTGAGCCACCATTTGAAAATTCACCTGCAGAGTCTGGAAAGGCACCTACGTCAGACAAGGATGTTTCTCGGGTTGGAACAAAATCAAAATCTTCAGATTTAATTCCAAGCGAGAAAGGTGATATCAGTGCTGATAAATCTGGTAAGCTTCAAAGCACAGATGCTGAGGAAGAAAAAAAACTTAATGCTGAAGCAGGGTCCATTTTGTCTGATACAAAATACAGTGAAATTCGATCTGACACCAAGCCAACTGATGGTCTTTCCCAGGAAATGTCAATTGATGGCAAAAAATCAACATCCAATGATGCCGAGTTAAGAGCTAGTCAGTTTCAAGCAGAAGAGAGATATGGCAAGGATAGTGTGTTGAAAACTACAGTTCCCATTAAGGGTGAATGCCTTTGGGAGGGAATGCTTCAGCCAAACATCTCAACCACTGATTCAGTCATTAGCATCTTCAAAAGGTGACTACCATTTTTTATCATATTTTATGAAAAACTGTTCCTTTGCTCTGAACTCAATCCAAATATTGTGCAACTGATATATTCTTTCATATATCATGTTAAGCAAAAAATTTTAAACTGTGTACAAAAGAGGTGAAAGTTTAATAATATCATTGAAGTTATTAATCCATCCATATACAAGTGCAATGATGACTTTGGAATTTGTAACTGTCTTTACTTTTCTCATTCTTTTATGCTTGTGATTTTTTCAGATTTTATTTTGCGCTGACTTGTGATTTTGTTTTAACCCGCACACAATCTCATATAGATGTGGCGAACCACATTTACTGTGGTCCCTTATGGTCAGTGGATCAAAATTTCATGTTCTAGTTGAACACGATGGAAATTATGCAGAAGCATAATTTAATGTCATGAAAAACAAGCTTGACAAGATTTCTCGAGGGCTTGTAATTTGTTTTAATTGGTCTCTTGTTTTTTAGCCTTATTTATATTTATTTTCTTCATCTACTCCTACATGCCATCTTACTAACATGTAAGTTGTTTCGTGTTTTTTTTTGGGTAAATTAAACTTCAGATTACAATTTCTGTTTGTGAATGTGGTTTCAGTCAGGTTTTTAGAAGTTTTCTAGTTTCTTAACAGGATTCGTAATTGACTCTGGAACAATCCTCAAAATTTTGGGGACAATACTATTTAATAGCTGTTTGTCAATTTTTTAAGGTTCTTTTAAAAAGCTAGTTTGTGTTATTTTTAGATCGATTCACTTTTAGGAAATTGTTGTTTCTTCCTACATAGGGTAACTAGGCATGTTTATTTCAGAGTATATTTGATTATCTGTGCTTTTCAATGCCTTCCGTGTCTATTCAAACAATCCCAAATGCGACTTTCAAATACTGTTTTATGTTTATCTCGAAAAAGAGTGAAAAATGTTTTTTGGAAATTTGACTTTTATTTTTGTTCCTCCACACACAAAAAAAAAAAGAGGTCTATGTTGTGGGGGTTGATGTGTTCCACCACAAACCACTTTCATTTTCTTCTTATTTCATTGAATAAAAAGAAGATATTTTTTATCGGCACTGTTTGAAGAGGATTAATATTTCCTAGGTTTTTCCTTTTCCTGATCTTACATTATACTTTTTTTGTGAAGCGGCGAGAAAACTTCTACCAAAGACTGGCCTGGATTTCTCGAGATTAAGGGAAGGGTTCGGCTGGATCCGTTTGAAAAATTTCTACAAGAGCTTCCACAGTCAAGAAGTCGTGCCATCATGGTATCTCAAGTTTTCTTTTGTTGTGCTAGACTTGTGTATAGCCTGTTTATCTCACCAGCCATATATATAGCAATGATTAAAAAGAAAAATAATGTTGCAGTTTGATGCTAATTTTTTCTTTTCATCACATCTTTTGTATGCTAGACTTGTGTATCGCCTGTTTATCTCACCAACATATATAAAGCAATTATTAAAAATGAAAAAAAAATGCAACTTGATGCTAAGTTTTTGTTTTAATCACATGTTTAAACAATAGCATCGTGAACTACAGTAGTACTAGTAGCTAGTTGTGTACGATTAACTACAGATTTTTAAAGCTGTCGGAATAAAACAGAAAATGCGTTTTTATGAAGGAGGAAATAAGTTTTAGGATTTGTATAACTTGAAAAAGCATTTGCCACGGTTAAATCGGATTACATGATTAATTTTTGTGTTTGGTAAATACTCTAAGATGTCTGGCAAATTGCGTGAATTTCTGTGTGGTTTCTTCTTTTCCTTTGTTTTGTTGATGAGATGATGTAGTCACTATAATAGTACTAGTTGGTGGCTGTGTATGATTTGACAAATTTTAAAGCTGTCAGGATGAAACAATGAAAATGCATTGTTATGAGGGAGAAAATGATTTGGGATTTGTATACTTGAACAGACATTTCTCACAGTTAAATTGGATTACAAGATTCATTTTTTATTGTTTGTAAATACTCAAAGATGTCTGGCGAACTGCGTAGAACAGTTTCTCGTTTACTTGGCACGTGTCTTTACAACCGCTCAATCACAGAAATTCATGCGCGCAAACATGTATGAAATGTTGACATCTAACAAAGTATGGGCTGAAAATTCAATTATAAATTTTTAGGAGTTTTATGAAAAAATCTCACCATTAGACTCTCCTATTTTAGGGGAGGCTGGAGGGTATGAAACCGACTCCTTAAGTTTGGCGTGGATGAGATACATGGCATTATGTCACAACTTAAGATGGGTTTTAGTGACATAGTTTGAATATATTTCGCTGAGTGAAGCCACTTGCTTTTTGATTTGAATATTAACATAACTGATATAGAGCTCTGTGTATATGATGAAAACATGTTTAGCACGGTAGTTACAAAGTTTCTGTCAGCAAACAAAAAGTTAACATAGTTTCTTTGTATGGCAGGTTTCACATTTTATTTCTAAAGGGTCAACCCCTGAGGAGCAAGTAACTCTCCGGGAGGTAGTTATTATTATTATGTTGGTTAATTATCCCTATTTTTAGCTGTGAATTGTTTATTATAATTCGATAATTTTGCGTGCAGGTGGCTGATTCATATATTTTGGACGAGAGAGTGGGATTTGCAGAACCTGTGCACGGAGTTGAACTTTACTTTTGCCCACCTCATAAGAAAACAGTTGAAATGCTCAGCAAGATACTTTCAAAGGAACAAATTGAGGCAGTTAATTCTATTGATAATGGTCTAATTGGTATTATTGTATGGAGAAAAACTAATATAACTACATCAATATCTCCCACCACGCAATCACACAACAAACATAGCTCTAAAAGACAAAACTTGAGTAGAAGACAGCAAGATACTAATGCGAATGCCAATGCCAAATCTGCCTATAATGCAGGACCCTCTAAGACCACCGAGAGTGAACCTCCGGGTGATGACGCTGATGACGATGACGACGTTCCTCCTGGATTTGGGCCGCCGGCAACCCGAGTTGAGGATGACCTCCCAGAGTATAATTTTTCCAGTAGTTCAAATCCATCACACTTGGTTCAAAAACCTATGGGAGCAAGTACAGTCCCATCTAACTCGGTTGGTCAAGCCCCATCCCGTCCTACTCAACAAATGAGAGAACTTGTACACAAATATGGACAAAACAAAACACCTCCCGTATCTTCAGTAAACTGGCAGGACAAATTTAGGGGGTCAATTCAACCCTGGAATGATGACGACGACGATATACCTGAATGGCAACCTAATATGAACCAGAATCAGTTTACTCCCCAACAAACAGTACATAATTTTCATCCTAGACCTCACATTATGAATCAACCATTTGTTGGTCTACCGCAGCAACCAATTATGCCTACACAATATCTGCAACCCCCAGCGAATGTGCCACATGCCCAACGAAATTTTGTCCCTCAATGGGTTCCATCTATCCAGGGCAACACAAACATACAACCAAGCAGTGCACCACCTTATGGAACACCTGCACCAGGAACTCCGTGGTCTCATCATGTTTCTAGAAGTAGAGGACTTTAGTTTCTTTAATTTCAGTTCAATTTATTTTACTTTTCTTTTAATCATTTATACATCTGTAGACATGTATGTAAACTTATGATAGTGTCAGACTTTTGATTTTATCTTTTTGTAACATCAATACTTTTTAGAGGCAATAGACCATTCAAATGACTCTTGTTTCATATCCCCTGATTTATCATGCCATGATTAAATATGATGGATGAGAGAATATTCCTTAAGTTTCATTTTAGAATAATTTCAAATTTTCATTAGAATTAACCATAACATAATTAAAGATTTAAGGCACCCTTGTATCTGAGTAAACAATTGTATAGAAACGTTCCGTTTTGACTAATATGTGCAATGTATAACCTTATTGTATATTACTACATTACTCTTGTACGAAAGCACACAACAAAAAAAAGGGCATGTTAGTGTGTTACACTAAAGAAATGGATGAAAAAGTTATACATCCTCAAGAAAATGACAAATGAAAAAGCAACCAAGAATTGAAAAATAGTATAATCAATCCTGGATCAACCTCCCAAAACTCTCTTAAGTGCAGCACGTTGTCCTGGTGTCAATTTTTTAGGAAACTTAACCTCAAATATGATCTTCAAATTACCCCTATGACCAGGTTCCTTAGTTATTGGCATTCCTTCATTAGGAACAATAAGCTCATAACCAGGACTCACAATGTCTTTCACTTGAAAGCGTACGTTACGTTTGTCGAGTGTTTTTATATTTATCAAAGTTCCTCCAATGGCTTCTGCTAGTGTTATCCTCTGGTTCACAATAAGGTCATTCCCATCCCTCTTGAACACTTCATGAGCCTTCTCATCAATCACAAATACAAGATCTGCTGGTAGTTGATTTAGTTGCTGATTCCCTTTATCCGGGAATGTGATCTTTGTCCCTTTCTTCCATCCTGGCTTTACTTCAATGCTTAATACCTCTGTTTCTTTGATTTCCCGTCTGCAATTTTCGACATCATAAATAAACAAAGGTGATTTCATCAAGTTTTATCAAAGAACTTCTGGAAATAAGCTGAAAATAGCTTATCCACGCGTGTCATAAACAGTTTTCAATTAAGTTCTCCTAAACAATCTTACAGAAAAACATATCAATAAGAGTAAGATAAGTTGGATTTGGATCCTATGCGGCGTCTGCTACACCAGTGCAGCCGCGCTGCACTGGATCTCCAAAAACAAACAAGTGAAACCTACCCGTATGCATTGGGATCCATTACAGTCCTTGAGATCTTCATTTTCCTAGTAGAACCAGAATACAACTCCTCCAAACTACAAGTCAGTTTGGTCTCCACAGGGGACGGTTTCCTTGGCATATATGATCTCTCGCTGTGTGTTCGAAAATTAAAATCTCCGTTGAACCCACCGAACGGGGCACTTCCTCCACCATCAGACGAGAATCTCTTCGATCTCCCAGGTCCAGACGATCCAAAATTCAAAGGACTACTCCCAAAGAATTCCGTAAAAATATCCTCCGCAGTTCTATTAAAACCACTCGACGACTCATTTCCCTGCGGCGGCGGCTTATCTTTTAACCCTTGTTCTCCAAGCTGATCATATAGCATCCTTCTTTGAGGATCACTCAATACCTAAAATTGATCAAATTTTCTCAGAATTCAAAATCACTTATTGTCACAAAAACACCAAAAACACCCGAACAAACAATAGAATATACATAACTTCTTCAACAAGGAATCCCTAACGAATAAAAACCCTAATTTTTTTTTCAATTTTTGACCATGAATCTAAAACTAAAAAACCAATTTCTCTCATCTGCATCTAATAAAATTCAATAAATTAATTTTTTTTAAAATTATAAATTATATAATTCAATTCCCAAATCGCCAACAAAAAATATAAAAATTAAAAAAAGAAAGAAAAGGAATGAAATTGTTACCGCATAAGCTTCAGAAATTTGTTTGAAATTGGCTTCAGCTTCTTTTTTATTGGTAGGGTTCTTATCAGGGTGCCATTTCATGGCCAATTTTCTATAAGCTTTCTTCAAATCATCATCGGTAGCATTTCTTTCAACCTTCAAAATATTATAGAAATCCACACCCATTTTTGAAAATGTAACAATTGTAAAATCAACTATTATTCTTGCAAACTTTGTGATCAACAAAGCATACAGAAAAATTGGTTGATTGAACAATTGAGAAATCTGAGAATTTTGGAAGGGAAAACGATTTATGGGGTTTGGGATTTTTGTATTGAATATTGCAGAAAAAGAAATTTCATCGGCATTTTGTTAATAGAGACTACTAAACAGAAAATTTTGGATCATACAAAATTATATTACCGAGACTTTTGTTTTAATTAACCACTTCGAGTACACATTATATAATTTATATAGTTCAATTTATTAGTATTTTTTTTTTAGTTGTTGTAAAAAAAATAATAACGATGTCACTATTTTAGTTTAATTTGTGGTTTAATTTATATTTCAAAAGATTTCATTTTTTTACAAGTAGGAAAAACACAAAATTATCTAAAAAAAAAAAATAAAGTTCTATTAGCACCGGCTAGCAGGAGAACGGATTCTAACACGAGATTTCGCCGCAAAAGATCAGTATACCATATTATTACTGATCTCATATTTTATTAAATAGTCAACACAAATATTTTTTTCTTAAGAGTATGAAATATTTGAACTCGTCATTTCTTAAAGAGAAACTCTTTTCTGAAGAATCGCGACATAGTGATTTCAAACATTAACGGACTCTGAGATAAACTTGATAGCAGAGTTGAAGTCAGAATAACACATCAAGTCTTTGATGTCAAGTTCTCATGTCATACACAAACTATGATATAACGTCATCAGCTGAACACGAAGAATATTTGAATAACCAATATTACTCGTAAAACCGTGAACCTAAGTACTATCATCATTTCAAATCAATCCACTAAAATCTGAGACGTCGAGATTACCCAGGCTATTGTCATCAACATTCAAAATCATATTTTTTGTGCATTCCACGTGATCGTTGTCGTCGAATGAGATAAATTATACTTGAGAAAATATTTATCTAACTGATTAACATAAATCACTTTGATGAGTTTTAAAACATATGAAAATACCACTTCATTCGCAAGACATAATTTGTTTCTAACGCGCCACAACCACCAACAAGTAGGCAAAAAAATAGAATCACCATCGATGTCAGGTTTAATCCAATCATATAAAACACTCCATTAGAAGAATAATGGGTCCAAAAAGCCAATAAATTTATGTTAATGATATTATATTTGGTTCCACTAATGAATCTCTTCACAAATAGTTTGCTAGTATGATGCATGATGAGTTTGAAATGTCATTGATGGGAAAGCTAAATTACTTCTTAGTATTGTAGATAAAACAAATAAAAGATGACACGTTCATCAGATAAAAAATATTCAAAGAGCATTTCTACTCCTATGGCTTCAAGTTTGCTAGTTGCTAAAGATGAACAAGCGTGGGGATCAAGATAACCAAATATAAAGGTATTATCACATGATATTTACTCTATTTAACCGTGAGTAAGCTAAATATTATGTTTGAAGGTGAAAAAACACAAGAAGGGGTGTGTGGGTGGGGGGGGGGGGGGGGGGTGGGGGGTGGGGGGGGGGGGGGGGGGTGGGGTTGAATTGTGTTTACGTTTTCTTCCTTTTTAAAACTTATGGTCAGATTCTAAACATAATATAAAATCCGATTCAATCAGAGGTAAGTAGCGGATATTAAATGCAAGAAAGAAGAGTAACACACATAGTTATCCCGATTCCTCTCACAACTCGAGGGTAATCCAGTCCCCTTGTACTCACAAGAGTTTTTCACTATAATCACACAAGATTACAATTTGTTCAAGCCCACAAGCAAAGCAAGAGACTTCCAATGCTCAAACACTAAAGTAAGAAACTTTTATGCTCAAGAACACATATAAGAGACTTCCAATGCTCAGGCACACAAGCAAAAGACTTCTATGATTAAGTACACAAGCAAGAGACTTCAAATGCTTAAACACTTAGTAAGAAACTTCTAACAATCTACCTAATAGATAAATGATTGTTTTGGGCAATACACTTGATATACAATCAGAGGCGTATAAATAATACAAGTATTAATATACCCAATTATTTTTTAAATACTTTAATATCATCAAAACCTAAGGGATATGGGACAAACCGTTTTTGTTCCAACAATGTTTGGCATGCACGTGTGCGCTTGATTTCAAGCGTCGCTGGGAGAATCAAATTTTAAGATCATTACAAAATTTTGAGGTATCTTAAGGAAACCTTGCATCACATTCTTTGGTTTCCCAAGGTAAGCGATTATAGCTTAGTAGGATTTTCCGATTCCAACTTTGGTGGGTGCAAATCAGATAGGAAGTGTACTAGTGGTACTAGTCACTTGTTTAGTTACTTAGTAAAGTAAGAAATAACATATTATTTCTCTTTCTATCGTTGAGGCTGGATATATATTCGTCAGTAGTTATTGTGCACAAGTCTTATGGATAGAGCAATAACTATTGTATTACGATTTAAACCTCGATTGCACGCTAATCAAATCCGATGACACTAACGCTATCTGTCTTAGTAAGATATAGAAATATGACATCATTTCCTTAGAGATCATGTTGAAAGTTATACTTTGCTTATGCTTAAACGTTACTTAATTATAATTGTAAAAGTTGTAAGCTTTCTAAGCATAAAAAAATAAAGAGACTGGAATTGCTCCATCTCTTAGGATTTATGCGTTTAAGTTTTCTTGCTTGTCAATTTAGTAGTTTAGTTTATTTTTCATAATTGAGTATCCTCACATAATTGCGCATTCTAGGGTTGGGTGCTAAATCGTCTTTATGCTTGCATAAATCAAACTATTTCTTTAAGATTAACACAATATGCTTTTAGTAAATTAGTCGAAGATTTGGATCAAAAAACACATGAGAATATGGTTGAAATCATGTCGAATTAGGGATTTGGTTGAATCGAATCAAATTGAATGTGAAAAAATAAGGA